ACTGATGCTGGCACAGTCACAGAATTGTTGCTAGCAGAGATAAGACTTTTGCTGATACAAACTTTAATAGCAAAACTGCATTCTAAACCAACACACTGACACTATTACTCACAAATCAACAAACTTACACTATCACTCATAAATAAATGCATGTGACACATGGATGCTGACCTACTTCCTGTCCATCGAAGTCAGTGTCAGACTGTTCGCACAAATTAACCATATGCTGATATCAAACCAAGCTTAGTCAAACACGAAAGTTTGATGACTTTATTATCCTCCCTTTCATTCTAAAGTTAAAGTGGGAAATTTTTTTTTTTTAAATTACTTCTTTGATTTCTTTGATTACCTGAACACAGCTTAATTCTTTGAGTCCCAGGGGGTTTAGCATCACAGGCCCAAGGGGTAGTCAAGAAAGACATAAAATAGGTGCAGCTTGCATTCACTGGGCTTCTAGGTAGGAATCTATGAACGTATGATGCGTTCCTTGGGACTCAAAGAGTTAAATTCCAAAATTATCTTGGTATTCTCTCAAATGAACTCTGCTCAAATTATATACTAAATGCATTACAGAATTCTGAGCAGTTTTTCTGCTAAGGAAGCCATTGATGCACTAAATGAACACATCTTTAATCTGTTTATATTTTCCTTGTCTACTTTTGTAGCTGCCCTGTTTCTTCTCTGGAGCAAGGTTGCGCAAGTAAAGAAGATTCCCTGTGGCAAAAGAGCAGTTAGGCTGGTCAGAAATGTGGTCTGTGACCTCTCATGGTCCTTTGACAGTGTTTCTGGTAGCTGGCATGGCAAAGGGTGGCAGTGCATAGTTACACTCACAGTAGCCCTGAGGACCTGGAGATCCAGGGATACCACGGTGTCCATGAATCCCAGGCATACCTGGAGAGCCTCTCTCACCTGTCCTTCCTGGAATGCCTTCTCCTGGAGGACCAGGCTGACCTGAAAACAAAAGAAAAGTTCTGTATTTTTAGGGTCTTGAGAGTGCAAAATAAAAGCTTACTGCAGTGAATACACAGTTCTTTATTAATATCTTACCTCAGATGACGTCACAGGACAGTCCACAAATTTAGAGGGTGGTAAGACTAGGTTTCCCAGCTTTCTGATGCTTTTAACAACACCAAAATATCTTGAACTAGCCCTAACCCCAACCCACCTACGTCCCACGAGAGAGTGCAGCCTAGGTCCCATGACTGCATGCAGCCTATCTACTACCCCCTGAAATATTAGACTGTCCTGTGACCTGTGGATTCTCCCCTGTCTGGGGTAGGATATTATTAAAGCACCCAAGTTTGTGTTCAAGATGGGAATCTGCAGCAAAATGGCTCAATCATGTTATAGTTATCAAGATAATACACCTTTAACAATAGTGCTTGTAAAGATACATCATGGAATTGGACAGAAAAAGCATTTATAAATCACAAGAAGATTTCCCTTTGTGGGGTCCACGGCTCCATTTTAAGAAAAATGAACAGACCCACTGCTCCCCCAACAAGCATGTCATGAAAGGTAAATTAGGAGCATTTCTTTCACAGTTGGAGCGCATCTTCCTGAGACTAATGGAACCAACAGTCTGCATACACATAAGGCAGATCTGTAGAAGCGATGTGCACACAACACTAAAGTTCTAGCACAACACTCAAGTCCAGAAGATGACAATCATTTAGAAGTTTCTTCCAGAGTTTACAGCCAGTAAACACGAAGAAGATGAAAAGAAGATTTATCCATGGCAAAAGTTACTTTAAGTAAGATGGAAAACATTCTGAAAAATACTCCTCATAAATCAGCACCAGATAACTTTCTGAAAATTGTGTGAAACTAAATGACTTTGTGTAGTTTTGTGTGTGCGTGTGTAGGTGTACTGGTGTCCTTTTGTTTTTGCCCGATGATAAGGTTTCTATTCGCATTGTTCAAATTGTCACTCTTGATTATATTTTTTATAGCTGACCACTCATACTTTTTATAACAACAAATTTACACTAATGGTTTCTGTATCTTTAGAGATTACCTTTGTCTGTTTATGAGTATTACACACTTATGCTGGGGCACATTTACATAACCGCTGTATCTGCCTTAAACTGCTCGCTGCTGTGCCCTGTCCTGTTAACTTGCATTTCTGTCGGGACCGTGCCTCCTCTGCCCTCGGAAAGAGGTGTCCGCCTTTCACTGGCACTGGCAAAACACATCACAGGCAAATATGTCTAAGAAATAATTCAAATAATAAACATACCAGGTGCCCCTGGGGATCCCGGTGGACCTAGCAACCCTTCTCCAGTTTCTCCTTTCTCTCCTGCGGGTCCCCTCTGGCCTGCGGAAAGTAAACACCAACAAGGCAAGTATTAATTAAAGTAGAACCTGCAAAATGTGAATTATCATGTTTCTAAATACATGGTTGCCACCATGGGGTATCAGCTAGATGCTCGCCTGCGGATCCGAAAGGTCATGGGTTCAAAATGAACAGAGCTGGACATTTTTCAGAAATGACCTTGGCCCCTAGTTTGGACCCCATCTTTGAATGGGCACCAGGTAAAGTCCTGGAGGGTAAAGGTGGCTGGTAAGATGCTGACGCCATTCCCCCACCGTGTGCCAATTTTTCTATAAAATATATGACCAGCCCTATATGCTCAATATACCTGTAGGGATAAAAGAGAGTTGTTTACTTAACTTTACGTTACTTCTAAACATACAAACTCCACAAAATTGTACGTATATGTCAGAAAAAATCAAATCTGTATACACTTTGAAAGACTAAATTTATATAACTTTGTCGAGCAGTTCGTTTAAGTAATCCTTTATCTCTTCTTCTTCACAATCACTGGCTGTAAACTCAGGCAGACTTCTGGTTGTTCATCCATTGTTCACACTGTTCATTCTGCCCGTGCGCGGGTGTGGGGGTGGGGGAAGGGGGGGGGGGGGTGTGTGTGGATGTATGTATGTGTGCATGTGTGTGTGTGTGTGCATATGTCTGTCTGTGTATGTACTTATGTACTTATGTATGTATGTATGTATGTATGTATGTATGTATGTATGTATGTATGTATGTATGTATGTATGTATGTATGTATGTATGTATGCATGTATGTATGTATGTATTTATGTATGTATGTATGTATTTATGTATGTATGTATGTATGTATGTATGTATGTATGTATGTATGTATGTATGTATGTATGTATGTATGTATGTATGTATTATGTATTATGTATGTATGTGTGTGTATATTATGTAAGTGCATGTTTGTATGTATTTCGCATGTTTGTATATGAGTGTGTATGTGTATGTATGAGAATGTAAGAGTATGTGTGTGTGCGTGTGTGTGTGTGTGTGTGAGTTTGAGTGTGTATGCATTATTTTATAATGTATATTTTTTTTAAATATCGAGGCTCTATAATAAACAACAATGGAGACTGTTCAACAGAAATTAAAAGAAGGATAGCCATAGCAATGCAAAGATTGAACAGCCTTAAAAGTCTATGGTTAAGCACCAGCAAGGAGATCAAAATTATAATTTTGAGAGCATGCATCTTCCCTGTGGCTACATACGGATGTGAGTCGTGGACTATCTCTCAGTCCTTAAGAAAGAGAATAGGGGCTTTTGAGCTGAAATGCTATAGAAAGATTCTCAGAATATCTTGGACAAAGAAGATGAGAAATATTGACATCTTAAAAGATCTGAACATCAAGGAAGATTGGCTAATAAACAGCATCCTGTCTCGAAAGCTGAAATATTTTGGTCATATCAAGCGCCACGACGGATTGGAAAAAATTATAGCAGAAGGCATGGTACCAGGAAGGAGGGGCAGAGGCAGACCGACACGAAGATGGGCACAGGATATAAGTGACTCCTTGAGTGTGAAAGTTCATGAGGCGGGAGAACTGGCAAGAGACCAAGTTTCTTACAGGCAAACTGTGATGAGAGCGACGTTCTGCAAAGGACCTGCTACATAATGATGATATATTTTTTAATTATAAACATAACATGCATTATTGATAACAGGCATTGGTACTCTGAAAGATGAGTGCTTAGAAGGGCCGAATGTCGGATGGACCTGCGAGCTAAATTTGTAACCCTTTGAAAATAATGTTAGTTCGTTCGTCGCTCCTCTTCTGGGTTTTAGTCTTGTGTCAGAACCTGAGTTTTGCATGCACATTCATTTTACAGATCTGGCTTTTTTTTATGCAGACTGTTGGTTCTTCAACTAACAGGCAGATCAGTCAGACTTAGAAGGAAACATCCTTAATTACTTGACTCTTATGACCTAGTTGTTAGGGCAATGGGACAATGCTTTTTGTTACCCACAATGGGACCCCAAAACCCACAAAAAGATTAACCCTTAATTACTTGCCTTCTTACTTTACTTTGCTTAGTCGCTCCTCTTCTATCTTGGGGTGTAGAGGTTTTCCAGACTTCTCTATAAGTAGTTTTCTGTCTGGCTATGTTCCATTCCAGTCCTCTGTCAGTCAGGGACTGTCGGATGTTGTCTTCCCAGGGGACCCTGGGTCGCCCTGGAGGTTGGTTCCCTGGTGCTTACTTGCCCTCTACAATAAGTAATATGCTTGTTAAGGGGCATTGAGTCTATTCTCTTCCTCCCCTCCCCAAACTGGGTCCCTCAGAACCCACACAGATAATCAAGGGATGAATACCAGTTACCTCTGGCTTGTCTACCATGGTTATAATCAACATTCAGATACTTATCAGTCAGTAAGTTGAAGTTTCAATTTCATGGCAGATTGGTCAGCCCTTAATTGCTCCCTTCCTGTGACAGTGAAAACACTGAAACAGACTGCAGTCTCAGCAAAACCAATAGCATAACATGCATAAGGCAGCCATCAGGAGTGCCAACACATAGAATTGCAATTCGTCACCGATGGAAGCAGATACAATAAATAAGCATTATGCACATGTATTATTGCATAAGGCACCACTAGTTCTGTTTCAACAGGCTACTCGCTATTTTCTGAATCTGCAAGTCATATAAGCATAACTTACCTTCAGGTCCAGGTGGACCTTGTGGACCTGGGAGGCCATGTAATCCAAGGAAACCCCGGTCTCCAGGAGGTCCGGGGAGTCCTCTGTCACCTGAGGCAAATAAAGTAAACATGTGGGAACATAAGAAGCGAAATAAACTGGAAAGTGTATTTACGAAGAATCCATCATCACTGTATTGACCACACATGGGTAAGGTAAGTGTCAGGTTTTATTGCACATGACTCGATCTTTCTACTCACAATGGCTAGCTACCTAAAGAGTTTATCACAAAGCGTTAACACTACAGATCCATCAATGATCCCCAGAAGTCTCTGTAAAAATTCACTTGTGAGGCAAGGAACAACAACAGTCTGAATACAGAAATGAACAAACAAGAACTTTTTGCCAGTGTTAACAGTCAGCGAACTCTAAAAAGATGCTGTTAAGCAATGGTTCTCAACCTTTCTAAAGCTGAGACCCTTTAATACAGTTCCTCATGTTGTGGTGACACCCAACCATAAAATTATTTTCATTGTTACTTCATAACTTCAGTGAATATGTGTTTTCCAATTGTCTTAGGCGACCCGTGTAAAATGGCCATTGGACCCTCAAAGGGGTCGTGATCCACAGACTGAGAACCAATGCTGTTGAGGAACAGAAGCTTTGAAGCTTTTGTTGATGATGATTGTTTGAGATTTTATACACAATGTGTTTTTGTTTTGTTTGTTTCCTCCGTCCTCAGTTACCCAATGGAGCATAAAAAGTAAAGGACCCTCCTCCCATTCTTCCTACCTTCAGCTCATTGGGCTTTTTGTTCTAGACACATAGACCTATCCCAAGCTTAAATAGGTACCAGGTAAAGATCCAGGAAATAAAGGTGGCTTGCATAATGCTGATCACATCACGTACTGAGTGCGGATTCATTTATAAAATGTAGGTCCATATCTACATGCCCGATAAACCTGAAACCAGGTCCTTTACTTATACTGAACTTATAGACTGAAAGAAGTGGATGAACAATCAGAATGTTCTGCCAGAGTTTACAGCTGGTGAATGCAAAGATGAAGAAGGAGAAGAAAAAGCAGCATCTCCTTTGTGATTATTTTATCTGTGATCCACTGTCAAAGAACTGTTGAATTTTGTGACACTGTTAATGTTCGATGGTGACGATTAACTACAGTTTTGATATCCTTTAAATCTGCAAGCTAATGGTGTCAGAGAAGCATATAAGCACACATACACACAAGTTGAAAACAGAGGATCTATGCTGATCAACCCACCAAAGACAAAACAATTTAAAAGAAAAGGTGATCCCACAAGCACACACAGACTGCTGCACCCCTACCATAATGATATGTCTGTCGCTAACTCCCTGACTATCATCAAGTGTCTTGCTGAGTGATTTTGACAATTATACTTTTCCACATCTTATATTATATGAAGACACCTTTCCATGGCGTGACATAAAGCTGTCAATAATCCTTCCTCATTGTCTTCCTCTATATCATTTTTCTTCTTTCTTCTCTACTGCCCCCCCCCCCCCCCCCAGTGCAGTAAAGATTCTCAACCAAGGTATGGCAAGTCATTTCCTCTATCATTCTTTCCTTGGGCTTTTTGTCTAGAAGAGCAAGATGCAGAATTTTATATCTCTCTCGACACATGAGGCAGTTGCAGAAGAAGTGAATCTCTCTCGACACACGAGGCAGTGGCAGAAGAAGTGAATCTCTCTCGACACACGAGGCAGTGGCAGAAGAAGTGAAGAAGAAGATAGTTATACCAAAATGTATCTCCAATCTTTTACATTTTTTCAGAAGGTTAATTTACCTGGGGATCCAGGAGACCCGACTCGTCCACGTTTGCCAGGTCGACCCACACCTGGGGGTCCAGGTGGACCCATTAGACTAGCTGTCAACTCTTCAAGCTGCTCTGTGAACCACAACATACAATATCTGGGATAGCAAGCACCAATCTCTGATTAAACAACATGCAATATCTGGGATAGTAAGCACCAATCTCTGATTAAACAACATACAATATCTGGGATAGTAAGCACCAATCTCTGATTAACAACACACAATATCTGGGATAGGAAGCACCAATCTCTGATTAACAACATACAATATCTGGGACAGTAAGTACCAATCTCTGATTAACAACATACAATATCTGGGACAGTAAGCACCAATCTCTGATTAACAACATACACAAAGCAAACTATATTGTTAAAAGAAAAAAAAAAACAGTTATCCGATGGTGCTTTACTACTAAAAAAGAAACAAACGAACAGACAAAAGCACAGCTACTGAAATAAGACCTAATTTTTTACATTGAGGTTTCAACAACGGACCAACATCATGGCACACGGGTAGTAACCCGTAAGTGCTCCGTTCTTCTTTGAACTCAAGTCTGAGTTCGAAGAAGCTCAGCACTGTGCACAGGCTCTGCAACACCGGTGAGGATCCTAAAATACTTTGGATAGATTTGTAACTCCAAATTTTGCCCAGGCAGCGCCGTTAAGGCTACTCCTTTTTATTTTCTACGGCCAAGTTATTTTTCACGTGCGCAACAATTCACACGGGCGTCCGACCTCACTACCCAGAGACCAAGGAATTACTAGAAGTCCAAGTCCACGTGAAAAAAATCCCAGCCCTTATGGGGGATTGAACCCGAAACATCCAGCACTCAAGGCAGACACTATGCCTCGAGACTACGCATCCATGAAAATCTATGTAATTTAATAAGTTGTTGTTGTTGGCACTTTTTCATCTTTCCAACTGATAGTGTTACATTGCGCTATGAGGAGGCAGGGGATCACAGCCCACTGCGATGGCGAGTGTGACTAGCAAGACCTACCCATGTTAAGAAAAGATTTCAAGACCGTCATTACTAACATTTGAAGTTCCTCCTCTTCGCAGCACAAAGCCTGGGCAGTATTGTAGAGACCATATGTTGCCCATGCATCATGATCCCTCCCTCAACTTGCATTGTTTACTCGAAAGAAAAGGTAACACCAGTACATTAGGAACAAATCAGTCTACATGTTGGAGCTTCCCTCCTAGACCAACTGCCAGTCAAGGCTAAGGGAGGGCCTGATCTGCCCAGCCATAACATACAGTTTTAGGACTGTATTAACTGTTCCTATAACCATTTAATAAGTGATACTGTTTAACTCTTTGAGTCCCAGAGAGTTTAGCATCACAGGCCCAAGGGGTAGTCAACAGAGACTAAAATCAGCGCATCATGCATTCATTGGGCTTCTAGGCAGTAACCTATGAACGTATGATGCGTTTCTTGGGACTCAAAGAGTTTTAAGTGCACATACAAATACCTTCCGATTCAATCAATCAGTCTACAGTTCTTTTGTATCTGGGTCATCAATAGGTTTTTAAGCGTACAGGCTTTCCCATCAACTAATAAAAACTATGCAGTGTTTTTTTTTTTTCTCCTTATAAAAACAGGAAAGCAACATCATACAATATGCATTTCCTTTTTGAATATTGTGACCAAGTACTTAGTGTGCAGCTTCAAATGTGGGTGGGTGTGGACGTTGGTTTCCCCCATTGTGCACAAGTTATCTGAACACTGGGGCTATTATTATGGGAGATCATCGCAACCTATTCCACAATCAGTTAACCATCCCAACAACTGTCTCAAAAAATGAAGCAATTAGGCCATATGGAACACTCATACATTCGGGAGGCCTTTAGAAGAGTCAAATACTGAAACCTGCCAGGTATGTTGCAAAAGGGTTGGGTTGGACTTAGAAATGGTTACTAGAAAAAAGTCAACAGTAACTAACATCATTTTGAGAATAAAAATAAATGAAGAAGAGAATGTTTGACTAGGGTATGAAAGGATGAGGGATGTCAGGGAGTGAGTTGCACATGATAGAGGAAAGGAGGACTTGGCGTAAATTGTCTTACTAAGGGCCTCTGCTCCATCAGACAATAAACGATGTGGCTAAATGTATTTGAAAGCTGGGTTCTAAAAGAGAAACAGGTACTGATCAGCAAGAAGGATATTTATCTATAGCTGTCACTTTCTATGTATAAGAAACAAGTAGGCATGTATTGATTGGCACTCATAGGCACAAGTAGAAAGATAGAAGCGCATACTAGACTACATAAAAATTGAAGGCTATAGCTACCACACCAGGAATCAATTTGTTTATGTCTTATGTATCCTTTTATCTCTCTGCTTCTTTCTATACATGTATACTTGTTATATACTGTTTCTAAAGCCTCAAGGATTCCCTGTCTCTTTATTTATGTGTCACCTTCTGCTCTGAAAACACCTTTTGTCAGAGAGAGAAACCTTTCATAAGAGAGTCAGAGAAACTTTTTATTGTTGAGTCAGAGAAACCTTTTATCATTGAGTCAGAGAAACCTTTTATCATTGAGTCAGAGAAACCTTTTATTGTTGAGTCAGAGAAACCTTTTTTCATTGAGTCAGAGAAACCTTTTATCGTTGAGTCAGAGAAACCTTTTATCACCGAGTCAGAGAAACCTTTTATGGTTGAGTCAGAGAAACCTTTTATCGCTGAGTCAGAGAAACTTTTTATGGTTGAGTCAGAGAAACCTTTTATCGTTGAGTCAGAGAAACCTTTTATCGTTAAGTCAGAGAGACCTTTTATCGTTGAGTCAGAGAAACCTTTTGTCAGAGAGTCAAGAAAAAACAGGCACAAAACTAATAATTTTAGACAAGAGTCAGAACTTCCATTACGTACCACAACAGTCTCTGGTATCATCAGATCAAAAGTAGAAAAGCACTAAAAAGGGTTAGACAAAAATAAACTGCGGCAAACATAACTACAGACATGATATAATCCCTGATAGAGACCAAAACAATAACATTTACAACAAGGGGTCCCCCACCACCAGACCTGCAAGCATCAATATTTACACAAATGCCAAAAACAAGAGCTAAAAGCACCAGAGTGCTCACATTTCACAAAGATCTGCTTGATAACAGATAACATAAAGACATTGTTCCAGCTTATACATGAACAAGTTTAAAAACAGGATCAACATAGAAATGCAAAATGAACAGTGTTAATTTTGTCAGATATTATCATAAGGAAAGAAGCAGATTCTTCTACAGAGTTTGCTAACTGACAATTTACAGACGATCAAGATGTTTATTTACTTTTGTATTTGACAATGTGAGGGTTTCTGACAATGTTTGAAAAAAAAAAACTTTTCTTCTTTTCTCCACTCATGGAATGCCTCACGATGTCAAGGCAGGAGGAGATCTCTGGAACGGGTGCTTCTGTTTGCTTTATATAAAGTACTTTTCAGTGTTTCTGTGGTCCATAATCTGCGTGGTCCACCTCTGGCTCTGTTAATGCTCTATGGTGCCTTGTCTGATCAGTTTTGCTACATGGTCAAAGCATTTGATTTGTTGTCTCCCTTTAATGTTCAGTGCTGGTTCTATGCCAATTCTCCTCCTTATATCGTTGCTAAGTTGATCTTTCTTAATTTCACCCAGCATAATATGTACACATTTCATTTCTGTTGGGGCGATCTGTCTTCTGAAGACAGTGTCCATGTTTGATATTGATAGCACAGAGTTGGTTAGAATATCATTGGTTACAACAAAATCTGGCTAAAATACATTTGCCTGAAAAAGACATCTTCAGTAATGTATATGGAACAAACTGCAACAGTAACAAGGTCAGGGGGGAATTAGGCTATCCTCTGAATAATGGTTCCAAATTATTGAGGCCAAAAATATACCCTAACAGGGCCTCAGTGACATGTAAATTGCGGACTTCTTTCCGGCGATAATACTGCCATCGCCGAGGGTATCTCCCGCGCCGCTATGCGCGGAGTTGGGGCTAAACTAGATGGCTGGGACTCACGAGCAAATAAAAATGAAGGAAGCTGCATGAGATGCAGTAGCTGCCGCTCGTAAGTCCCAGCCATCTAGTTTAGCCCCGCTCCGCGCGTCAGGGCGCAGGAGATACTCTCGGCGGTAACTTTAACTCGGCAGAAGCTTTTCCGCAGTATGCTGTGCAGTCGCCGGAAAGAGGTCCACAATTTACATGTGACTGAGGCCCTGTTAGGGTATATTTTCAGCCTCGATAATTTGGGACCATTATTCGAAGGATAGCTGGGAATTACTCAGCTGATACAGATATTTATAGTCAACTTAGTAAACTGTCCAGCATCTTCTCTCTTGGTCTCCCTCTGCCTCTCCTTCACTCCAACTTTGCCATTGTCAGGATGTAATCCGTTTTCTACCAGCTCACAATGTGAACAAAGAATGTAGATTACCTTCTCCTGATGAGAATAAACAGGTGTTTTTGTGAGTTAACTTCTTTCAAGACATCCTCACTACCAGGGCTTTTTTTTTTTTTTTTCTGGTGGTACACGGCAGTACGCAGTACTGTCACCTTTTAGGCCTTTTATTTTCAACGCTATGATTTATGATGAGTACCGGCACCTTTTTCTATTTTCAAAAGACACTTTGTGTTGAGTACCTGCACGTTTCTCTAGAAAAAAAAAACCCTGCTCATTACATTCTTTAATCTGTCCATGATATTATTCTCATCACTGGTCTATAACATTCCTGCAACTTCCATATAATTTTTCACTTTATACAGTGCTTAACATTTATACCGCACCCCCCCCCCCCCCCCCCCACCTTGGGCCGCCCAGGTGGTAAGTTTTACTATAACAGCCAGAAACTCATAGATAACAGAAACTGTGCTCACAATTTTTTTTTTTTTTTTTTTTTTTTTTTTGCTTTCAACAACAACAAACATTGATATAATAAAACTGGTGGCATGGGGAAAACATAGATACCACACATTCTGTAAAACAATAAAACAAAGAATGTATTCACAGGAAAGCAGTTTTAAAGCAGATGAAATGCTTACCTCTAAGGATTTTGTAGCATATATCTCGGACTTCTGAATCTGAAATGCTTCGGCCCTGGAGAAACATGAGAGAATTTTAGATAAGCAAAAGTATTATTCTCTTGTAAACTGAAATATATATTCGGTTTCCCAGAATTGCAACATACTTCCACCCTGGCACAATTTGTCTGTTGTATTTCTGCAATTGTGAATTGGTTGTGTTTGTTTGTTGTTCAAGCCCACCAGGACCTTACATCAAGGAGCCAACACCCAGTGACACAAAGAGCCACCACTGGATGAGGATCCCTCAGGCACAAGTTTCAGAAACACTGTTCAACCAATAGGTTATCTTACAGCACCTGACTATAGCTAGGGTGCGGGGCTTTAAAACAAAATGGCGACTCACATTGAGACATATATAGGAAGTCATACTAAAATCACTCTCAATATTCAATGGCCTATGTAGATATAATATTATTAACTAATTTAACATTAGCTGAATATATGAAGCATTTTAGAATTTGCATGTTAATGTGTTGTTCTCTGTCTCTAGATATGTCTTGAATCATACTGTTGAAAATAATTTGGCCATTCCAGCACTTTTCCTAATTTATATTGCACTTCTGCCATTATCTGTTTTTATATGTCTTAGACAAGAAAACATGTTACTGGTTCTTTTATCTTTCTTTTCACTGGGATTTCAATTGCATCTTTTTTTTTTTCCTTGTTTTTTTATCAAAGATTTTTTTTTAAACTTTAGTTTCTTTTCCACATTATTTACTTGCTTCATGAAATCCACTACCTTTTGATCATTTTCTGTTTGTAACATTTTTGTATCAGCATAATAAATATATTGGCAAATACCTCTTCTTCTTCTTCCTTTTCTTCTTCTTCTTTTTTTTCTTCTTCTTCTTCTTATTCCTATTACTATTCTCCTCCATTTCCCATTCCTTCTTCTTCTGCTCCTCCTCCTTCTCCTAATCCTTCTTCTTTTTCTTCTTCTTGTTTCATCCTTCAAGGAGTGGTTGCCATATTTTCCTGTGGTTTGCAGTTAGGCTGCAATATCTGCTCTTTTTGGCCCTTTGCATCAAACTCTTAATTAGTCACTTCTACACAAAACTTTTCAAAGGACAGTGAGTGTTTTCTTTTCTTTTGTTAATCAAAATGAGGCCATGGAACCCGCATAAGGATTATCAGTAAGTAAACTGTTACTGTTGGGATCCCCGTGTCGGTTCAAGAGCTCTATTTTTGAGAACAAAGAACTGACCCAGTACCCCTTACAATCATGTCATAGAAGGTGACAAATTAGGAGTGTTTCCTTAAATGTCAGGGTGCATCTGCCTGAAAGGTAAGAAATCAACAGTCTGAATACAAAAAAGCCAGATCTGTAAAATGGATGCGCACGCAATACACAATTTCTGGGACAAGACCAAAGTCTAGGAGTGGACAAACAACCAGAGCTTTCTATCAGAGTTTACAGCCACTGAACGCTATGAAGTTACTGTAGAGAAGAGTAGCTATAAAGAAGCATGACCACTCAGGCTAGTTAGTAAAGAATGTGTTAGTCATCATTGTTAGTGATCATTTTTTGATTGAGATATTACACAGAATGGTTTTCCGCTTTCATTTCCATCCTTTCTTGCCCAGTGGGGAATAACAAGCGAAGGACCTTTGTTACACCTTCAGCACACAGTGCTTGATCTATAGGTAACACCACAATTGTGCATAAGCCCTCAACTATATGGAATAAAGTGTTTTTGTCCTTTGCCATTACATGCAGCTCACCATATTTTACTTACCGCGGTCTCTAATTCTCTTTGCTGTGTATAATTTAGAATTGGCTCACAAACAACAAACTGTCCCCAAAACAGAGGTATTTTTTTACCATGTTTGATGTGATGATTGCCTGGAATGGACGGTGGTGGGGGGTACAGTTTCCCAAAAAATGAAGCAGACCTCCGCTAAGGTAGATACATCACTAAAGACCGTTGATTCTTACCGCCAAGAATGGATACATGTCTATACTGATGGATCAGCATTTAAAGCTACTATTAAAGCAGGTTACGGAATCTACATAGGTTATCCCGATGGATCTGTTGAAGAGATTTTTGATGTATGCGGGGAATTCTGTTCAAATTATGAAGCTGAAATAATTGCACTGGAAACAGCAGTATACCACCTAAAGACTGTAATGGATGTTTACCCTTCAAAGGTCCAAAATATTGTCATCTTCACAGATTCAATGTCTGCCCTTCAAGCTCTGGAGGTCAGTGAACGCTGCAGAACTAACATAGCCAAGGTAATCCTGTATGCTGATCAGCTTATTACCTCATACAACATCAGAATAGTGATGCAGTGAATTCCAGGTCACTCCGGCACACCAGGTAATGACAGAGCTGACAGATTGGCAAAGAAAGGAGCAACACAAGAACGACCACCTACAGTGACAACCCTCCAGACAGCAAAAACACTGATAAGAGCTTTAAACAAAGAGACTTGGTTGAACAGATGGGCCATGGGAGACACTGGAAGAGAGGTTTATAGACATATGTCTGGCCCTGATCCTAATGACAGCATTAACCATCTAACAAGAAGGGACCAGGTCACCATCTTCAGACTTAGAATGCAACATACTCCACTCAATGGACACCTAAACAGAATACAGCAACAGCACTCCCCAGAGTGCCAGCTATGTAACTACTCCTACGAAACTGTTGAACACCATCTCTTTGAGTGCCCAAAACTCAGTGAGACAAGAAGAACGCTACTCCCTCCGAGACCAGACAAGTGGAACACCTTGTACGGAGGATAAGAACAGCTCGTGAAAACATGCAAATTCCACCTCATGGCATTGGGCCAAAGGGCGAAAGCTCATGCGTCGCTGGATCGATAACAACAACAAGGTAGATACGATACTTTAAAGACGTTGACTATGAAAGCACATAGGGCTGGAGAATTTTCTAGAGAAAGAGACTTTCAGGTGTGCAGTGACAAGAGCAAAGTTCTGTAAGGGACCTGCTGGTGACAATGCTTATTTGGTTTCTCCTTATAGTTATTTACGTGGCAATGAGTACGCAGTTAGATCAGTTGCTGCCGTCCCTCTGGGCAAGGAGCTATTTTACGATAAAGCAGACATGGTAAAGGCTCTCTGGGATCAAGTACACAGTGCAGCAGAACAGATGCAACATCCATATCTAAAAATCAAGGTTCACTTAGGAGTGGGTAGAGGATTAAATAATGTTTGACCCGCAAGGGGGAAAAATATGTGAACTTTTAATCCAGTTGCAGCTAACACTATCAGTATGAGAACTCTTTGATAGCTGCTGCAGAAGGGGACAGAGCACATACAGAAATGTCTGCGTGCAGTGATTTAAATTCATTCATTCATTCATTTATTCCCTTTACTTGTCTTCACTTCATTTCCTCTTTCACAGCTTCAAGTGTTGGGATATACAGTTCAGTATCTGGCTCCTCTGGCCGCCTCATTTATAAAGGCATTGTGCTGTTGCAGAGTTTGTCTGAAGTAATCCTTCCAGATTTTTTCTTGGTCTACCTAGTGTTCTATGTGCCTCTCCTATTTTGGAGTGTCTTGTGTGGTTTGGTTTCATGAGGTTTCTCCTCGACTGGGCAACCCATTTTATATATGATTGTATATGCTTTAGTATTTGTTCCATGCAGGGATTTTTTCTATAAAGACAAAAGAAATGTGCCTGAAGTGTCTAGTCTTTTACAGAACTTTAGACATTGTGTGTCATGACCCTTTAGTATGTTGGCTGCACGAACGTAAAGCATTAAACAGAATAATTGGCATTCAACTCCAGGTCCTCAACGCCGACATACATGGTTATATATAATATTTAGCTGCACACTTAAAATTTTTTTCAGCATAACGTCAGTGAGGAAGCTGAGAGAAAGAAACAGAACGAGATGGACAGACGGTGTAACTGAAACCTATGAAAAGATGAACAAATCCATCACCCCAGCCATCTGAGAAGCGCAACGTAAATACAAAAAACCATGAAATGACACTGGGCAAAAACCTGATATCAGTGAGGCGACAAATAGAAGAAAGACTGCACACAAAATATCCCTTATAAGGGGTTAGTTTGACCTCTGGTTTGCTAGCTGACTGAATTACCGTGCCATAAAATTATGTTTGTCTAAATGTGTAACCAAAACAAAATGTTTGGAAAGCTCTGGGTACATCCTCGTTCTTGACCTAACCAATTGCCTGTACTGAGTATGCTGGCAACTGCTGGAAAAATAAAGCCTTGGTTTTATGCCGACTTGGTTCTTTTTTGACTTCACTCTTGATTTTATCTCTTCTGATAACTAATGTGTTATTTTCAGACATCTACACTAAGCTGTGATAAGACAAATATAAAACTCACCGGCTGACCAGGCATTCCTGGCATGCCAGGTTGACCTGGTGGACCACGCTGACTAACTGGACCCGGTGGACCAGGTAAACCAGGTATTCCTGGCACACCTTGTGGGCCTTGAAGTCCTGGCTTGCCAACGGCTCCTCTTTCTCCAGGCTGTTATTTAGAAAATACACTTGTTAAAAATAGGCACGATTTCACAAATACCACTAAAATGTAAAATGAAACATTAATTTTATCATGTTTTCATTAGAATCTTTAGCTTTACAAAATTCAGAAAAATAACAATATATAAATATTGTTTTAAAAGAAAATTATACTTGTTAACATGTTTAGAAACTTTTTAATAAACTCATGCATAAATCTGCATATTAGCTTGTCTGATTAGTTCTCTGGAGTATATGTACACACAAACAGACAAGAGGTGACAGACTGAGAACAGAAAAGAGAGACAGTTGAGGAGTTCACTAACCATGCCCTGGGCACCGTGGATACCTGCTGGTCCCTAGAAAATATGACGAAAAATCTGATGCAGACAGTTTTTAATAGAAATAAAATTGCAGATTATACAAGCATCATCGATATTAAAATTATGAAAACAAGTTAGAATAACATAGCAATGTAACTTAATGGAAATATAACAGATTGCAACAACTTATGAGTATTTGAAGTATGAACATTTATGTGGCGAGAATGATGACCATGTAACATAATGGAAATGGGTGGAAAAGGAGACACATATCTACTGTTTACGTTAAAACCATTTCTCCTTTCTCCTGTTTCTCAATCCATACATTGCAAATGTAACAGGCTGGGGAAGTAGGTTGTTAGCCTGTTGGAATCATTTTGGTCTGACTACACATAGAGGATTCAAAATGGAAGGTTTTCAGAATGGAACTCTCTGGAAGTGGCCAATGGGTTAAACAATGAGCAAGTTTGGAATTTTAGTTCTCTAGGAATTAAATATAATCAAAAATCTTCCATTCGGTCTCGTAGTGACACTAGAAACATGTAGTCCTACCTATTGGTTGCAGAGCTTACAGAGTTCTAACCCAAAATAGCTTCAGGGGAGGTGAGCTGGCTCACTGGTTTCGTGTTTTGGCAGTATGTTCAGTTGATAAGTTGTGTTAAATCTAGATTTCCATGATCATCCTTGCACGGAGATTTTTTATTGTAGATTGCCTTGAAGTGAATATGAACTCTCATCTTTGTTAGCTAGAGTAATTAGCACATGTTCTGTTTGAACACTTTTTTTATTGTTAATTTACTGTTATCTGCGAAGCACGACACGCTAGTTTTGCATTCAGAGTAAATTAACAGATGTTGAATGTGAAGATTATATTCACTTTGATTGATTCTGAATATGACTTATAGTTCGTTAACGTAGTCTGACTAGGTGCTGCCTATGTGTTGTTATGTTTTTATTATTGTTGTTTAACTCACTATACACATAATTACTGCCTGGATCATGAAAATACGTCATGGCCCCTGCTCCTGAAAAACTCGCGACTTTTTTTTTTTTTTTTTTAACTTTTTTTGTTTTTGCAGTCCAGCGGGGAACTACTCATTGTCCTAACCATATTTCTTTTCTCACCCCCCCCCCCCCCCCCCTCTCCGTTTTTCTTTTCTGGCTGGTTCACAAGAGTTGTTTATTCAGAGACAGCTCATTCTGACACTTTTAATGAGTTTTATCTGACGTGCCATGAAAGAGGTGAAGAGTGAGACGTGTTACAAAGCAAGTACCTTTAACCTTAAGTATATGTTAAACAGTACTGACACATTGTTAAAGAAGATGTATTTATTCTGTGTGTTTGTGGCATTTTCCTTACCCTGCTTTCGGTAAGGGATAGTACTACTGACCATAACCCTTTAGCTGAAGGTCCCTTTTTCACCCCTTTACTGTGGATATAGGGCTAGACCTATATTTGTATAGACCAATCGGCGCTTGGTGGCTGATGTGGTCAGCATCACGCCAGCCGCCTTTACTTCCCAGGACTGCACCTGGTACCCACACAAGGCTGGGTCGACCTGGGAGTCAAAGACATTTTTGAAAATAAGTCCGGCTCCGCCAGGCGGTAATAACCATTAAGTACTATTAATTTACTGTGTAGTATAACATTAACTGTGAATAACTGGTTATGTCAAACTTGATAACAGTATCATAGATAATCCCTGAGGAGAATGATGCAGCAAGGAGTAGCCAGGGGATTGGGTCGATGCTCAATACTCAGTTGGGGGGGGGGAAGTAGGGAGGATATACACTAAATTGTTATTGGTGCCATCGGAATTAGAACTCCTCATTGCTGCTGAAAATAGGGATGGAGCGCTTATGGAGAATGCCCCAAGTGGTGTGATGTCGGTTCTTGAATCAAGTCAACTCACTCAACTACTGATTATTCATGTACACACAATCATTTAAGCATACTCACAACCTCGTGACATTCCTACATACTTACAATCTCATGCACATTCGCACATTCTTACAACCTCATACACAATTCCACATACTTACAATCTCATACACAATCCCACATACTTACAACCTCATACACATTCCCACGCACTTACAACCTCATACACATTCCCACATACTTACAAAATCATACATACACACATGTGGTGTTGTATCAACAAAGGTGCTGAAAACTCAAAGCAACATGTCAATTAGTCAACTCAAAGACACAACACACACACACAGAACATGCAGTTACTTTCGGTATTAATTAATACAACAAATTTACTACAAATTTAACACTTGAAATATAAATAATATTACATTTCAGACAACATGTAAATAGCTATCGCTCGTTTTTAAACTTAAGTGAAATGTAACTCATGCATTCTGGTAAACAAAAACATAACAAAATTATAAGGAAGAGAGAAACACATTTATAGGAAGAAAAAACAACTTTAACTCATTGGTTACCCTATAGATTGTAAACATTTATTTACTATTCCTATCCCATTCTTCTCTTATGTTAACCCTTTTTTCCCAGTTGCTACTGCAACACCTTCTCTCACAAAGCTGTAATTTTCAGCTCTATAAGAATAAAATATTGTCACTCTAGGATAGGCAAACTTTAGCAATGATACCATCTGGGATTAAAAGAGTTCAATGAACCAAGAAGTAGGAACCTACACCGGAAAAAAAAAGAACAATACAAGAGATTTATGACTGTCAAATCTGGTTTCTCCTTTGGCAAAAGTTCCAAGCCTCTGCCTCATTGATGATGCTTCTGTGTCATCACTCTCCAGTGCCCTTCTCCTGCATCTATTATTCAGCTGATGATGAAAGTATCTTTTCCTTAGTTACGTAAGCCTTCACATTTAGGACGCGAGATGCTGAAATTTGGCCTTCCAAAGTCCTTATTGTTTTAATCTATGATTGTTTTGTGCTCCATTCAGGTGTGTTAGTTTTTGAAATTAAATTATCGCAGTAAATTCTCAACGCTGCACACTGGATATGTTCACGCTCACATCTCTCTCACAGAATGGACAGGTCTACAAGTGCTGAAATCTCTCAGAGTATGGACAGGTCTACAAGTGCTGTGAGATCTCTCAGAGAATGGACAGGTCTATAAGTGCTGAGATCTCTCAGAGAATGAACAGGTCTACAAGTGCTGAGATCTCTCAGAGAATGGACAGGTCTACAAGTGCTGAGATCTCTCAGAGAATGGGCAGGTCTATAAGTGCTGAGATCTCTCAGAGAATGGACAGGTCTACAAGTGGTGAGATCTCTCAGAGAATGGACAGGTCTACAAGTGCTGAGATCTCTCAGAGAATGGACAGGTCTACAAGTGCTGAGATCTCTCAGAGAATGGACAGGTCTATAAGTTTTGAGATCTCTCAGAGAATGGACAGGTCTAAAAGTGCTGAGATCTCTCAGAGAATGGACAGGTCTATAAGTTTTGAGATCTCTCTCATAGAATTGACAGGTCTACAAGTGCTGAGATCTCTCACAGAATGGACAGGTCTACAAGTGCTGAGATCTCTCTCATAGAATTGACAGGTCTACAAGTGCTGAGATCTCTCACAGAATGGACAGGTCTACTAGTGCTGAGATCTCTCAGAGAATGGACAGGTCTACAAGGGCTCATAAACTCCTCTACAAAATGGACAGCTTCATGACTGTTCCGATATATACATAATAAATTATGTTTATGCCTAAGACAACAAGAATTAGCAAACATTATTAAAATACAATGAAAAGCGTATAGATTTTGAACAGGAAAAAAAAAAAAACAAGAAAAGCTGCCACTCATTTTCACCAATCTAACATCAAACAACAATGGACGATAACAACAATATTAACTGGAACTCACTGGTGGGCCAGTATTTCCGCGTTGTTCTGTTCCCACATTGTATCCGGTTATGAAGCTCTGGAAAATATATACATCAATGAATTTACATTTAAACAACCCTGTAGCTTAAGTTGTATAGTGATGATAGATTAAAAAAAAAATTTCTAAAAAAGATTTACTATACCTTTAACTCTCAATCTGGTCAGCAGAGCAACAAGACGATTCCAAATACCTCAGCCAACCTTCAAATAGGTTATAATTGAGGTACTTGTAACAGCGACATCAGCCAGGTGTCACTTGCAGCCTTCTGGGATAATGACCTACAGTGGTGTTTATGCTTGCCTGCCTAGTAGTGACCTAGGTCAGTGTGTTGCAAGCTGTGTCCCAGAGCCGTATCGGTGTAGGTCAATGTGTTGCAAGCTGTGTCCCAGAGCCGTATCGGTGTAGGTCAGTGTGTTGCAAGCTGTGTCCCAGAGCCGTATCGGTGTAGGTCAGTTTGTTGCAAGCTGTGTCCCAGAGCCGTATCGGTGTAGGTCAATGTGTTGCAAGCTGTGTCCCAGAGCCGTATCGGTGTAGGTCAGTGTGTTGCAAGCTGTGTCCCAGAGCCGTATCGGTGTAGGTCAGTTTGTTGCAAGCTGTGTCCCAGAGCCGTATCGGTGTAGGTCAGTGTGTTGCAAGCTGTGTCCCAGAGCCGTATCGGTGTAGGTCAGTTTGTTGCAAGCTGTGTCCCAG